GTGAAGTCTTAAGATGCATCCATCCATCCAAAGGAAGAGGAATAGACACGGGTTCTGGAAGCCAAACTTCAAAGTTTGGCATAATCAGTACTTAGACTCTTGTCAGTCTGTCCCCTGGGGATATGCCAGCTATTTGGGGCCATGCTTTATTACTCAGGGATGTACCTCCTATGTGGTGGACACTTTCCAAACACTCCAGACATGGTCCCTGCTTCAAGGAGCTCACAGTCTAGGGGAAAATCAGCCTGAGGAAAAGCTTTCCAGGTTCATTGGCCCAGAGCAGCATCCCAAAAGCCAATGGAAACACTCAAAACAGCTTTCAGAGTAGCAGCCGTGTTAGTCTCTAAGGTGCCACAAGTACTCCTTTTCTTTTTGCGAATACAGACTAACAAATTTATTTGAGCATAAGCTTTCGTGAGCTACAGCTCACTTCATCAGATGCGGCCACTGAATGCATCTGATGAAGTGAGCTGTAGCTCACGAAAGCTTATGCTCAAATAAATTTGTTTGTCTCTAAGGTGCCCCAAGTACTCCGTTTCTTTTTACTCAAAACAGCAATTTCCTTTACAGAGCACCTCTCACTCCAGGGTTTCCCAGCACTTTGCAGGCAATAACTTATTAAGCCTCACAGCATTCCTGGGAGATGGGGCCCCATTGTATTAATGGGGAAGCAGATGTGCTCACTGTCTCAGAATTACATCTAGGAACTACCAATATGTGAAGTTTCAGAGTAACAGCTGTGTTAGTCTGTATTCGCACTCCTTTTCTTTTTGCAATATGTGAAGCTGGCTGTTGGGTCCACACCTGCTTTTAAACTAGCATCTGCAGATTTGGTGATTTACTTATACTATATTGTTTTATGGTCCGGATGCGAAATTGCAGCCTCTGCTGCCTCTGAATGCCAGGCTCCAAGTCTTGAGGATACTGGTGTCATAGGAGGCAATGGCTCTGGTATGTGCTCTTCTGCCTTGTCTAGCTCTGCTGGCTCAAGTCTCTTCTCAAAAGAAGCCTTGTTTGGGTGGGGTTACAAATGAGTCTGATTTCAGAGTAGCAGCCGTGTTAGTCTGTATTCGCAAAAAGAAAAGGAGTACTTGTGGCACCTTAGAGACTAACCAATTTATTTGAGCATAAGCTTTCGTGAGCTACAGCTCACTTCATCGGATGCATTATGCTCAAATAAATTGGTTAGTCTCTAAGGTGCCACAAGTACTCCTTTTCTTTTTTCAAATGAGTCTGAGCATCTGACAAACACATCCCAGTAGCTCTGTTTGTAGCCAGCTTCCCCACTGCTGATGCTTAGGCCACCTGCCCCTATGTATCAAGCTATCCACAAACCCAGCAATGCTAAGGAAAGAATGCATGCTTTTGGCAGAGCAAGCCGGGCTGAAAAGAACAACGTTTTGGAGGTCTGCATCAGCTCCCTGAGTCTCTTAATTTGCAAAGCATCTCCTCAGTTGTGAGTTTAGTATGCTCCAGTTTCACACATTACTGTACAATAAGGATGTAGTGGATCCAGAATCTCTGATTCTCTATAGCACCCAACACTTGTTGTTGCTGAAACTCTGTTTCAGCCACCAAAATCCTCTTTGTATAATATTGCCTTCCTCTCCCGGCATGAATTGTCAGCAGGGCTGGAAACTAGGAACTTCAGAGCTGCACCAGACTTCTTACTGCTTCAGCTAGAGAAACGGCTCCATTCAGAATCCCAGGCCACCATTGACCATCTGTCTGACCCCCTGTACCGCACAAGCCAGAGACCTTCCCCCACAATCCTTCTTAAAGCAGAGCTCTGAGAAAAACACCCACTCTGGATTTTAAAACTGCCTGTGATGGAGAATCCACCACAACCCTTGGTAAATTGTTCCATGGGTAATTACCCGCACTGTGAGAAACATACACCTTATTTCCAGTCTGAATCTCTGGGAGATTGAAGAGCCTATTAAATATTTGTTCCCCATACGACCGTAATCAAGGCAGCCATTAACCTCCTCTTTTTGTTAGGCTCCAGGAGCTCAATCTATTTAACTTAACACTATAAGGCATGTTTAAGTGGTAGCAGTAGTAACCTGTCGTCCTCTAGTGGCCCAGCAGTATAGCACTAGTAGAATGGCCAACATCTCCTCCTCTTGTGGCCATTCTGCCAGCGCTATACTCCTGCTCCCAAGATAACTGAACTCTTTTCAACTCTACCAACAAGTCAGTGCTGCTCCTGAAAGGAGCCAAGGCAGCAGGCTTCCTTCTGCCTCTATCCTGAGCCAGCTCCCCGCATCATCATTACTAAGGAGCAAGAGCCTTTGAAAAGCTATTTACAATCTGGAAGTTCCAAACACGATGCTCTTCAGAAATTAAATCAGAAGCATTAGGCTGTTCAAGTGCATCTCATTACCAGCATATGGGCCCCTCTCTCTCTGTTCCTCCCCCACGCCCCCCAAATACACATTGCCATGCTGTCTGGAGTTGCCAGAGCGACTACTCTCCAGTCACAAAGCCTCTCTAGCTAGGATAAAAAAGAGACCAAAACATATGGTGCCCCTTTACAAAAGAGCAGATAGACAAGGTGAGCTGACTGGCAGAGTTACTGCCTGGCAATTTCCACAGCAGAGGAAGGTTAGGTTGGAATTTTAAAGGCCAAGTGGAGGAAAGCTAAATACTCTGAGAGATGCGGGCTGCTTGTCAGCCTCTTTGCTCAGTGTTTTTTTTTTTTTAGTCCCAGTTCCTTGTATTTGCTGAGAAACCTCATTTACCCCATCCATACTTAAAGCAACTAATGAGCTCTGTGTGCTGTGCAGGTGAGGGTTAGCTAGAAATAGCCTTTTGACCTGTTCACTTCTGGTTTCATGAGCATACAGTTAGCAAGATTTGGGTGGCTAGGTGTTAGACCTAGGGAATGAGCAGAGTCCAGTAAATGAAAGAGACGCTAGGGAAGATCTGTGATTGAATTATGATTGTCACATAGGCGGCCCTTCCCTGAGGCCCTTAGAAGCGCTATCTGCAAATGGCTAGGCTTTCCACTAGCAGCCATGAGTAATGCAGCCTGATTGCACGAGTTGATTAGAATGAACTATTCTGGTAAAACCCTCTTCTGGGAATTGGGCTCCATTGTAGAAATACTGTGTATTAGGCAGACTAATACGCTCACTGAGATCAAACCCAAGCAAAGTGTAATACTGTGATGTGCAGCTTATGTCACCTTGATGAGCAAGGTGGAGTAGTGGTGTTCTGTGGGAACCACCACCACACTGATACAGGGACAGTTCCCTGGCTCTGTGAGGAACAATGTCCCAGCTAATAGCAAGTTTGCACATGACACCCCAAAGAAATTCTCCAAATGATACAGTACTAGGGCAAGACGATATCCCAGGCCAGTGAAACCAAATTAGGAAGGCAAATGAAAATCACCTTGTGTCCCATCCAGAGGGTGCAGGAATTGTGTGGTATGTAACGCATGTTTGTAATGGCCTGCAGTCTGGTTTGGATGCTTCGTGCTTTCCAGGCTGTCTGCAATGCAGCTTCACATACATCAGTTAATGAGATTGACAAATAGCATAATGTGCCGCAGTCCTGCCCAGGATAAGCAGTGTCAAGGGTCGCTGTCATGGTGACGGGCATCTCCCCATCTGTGTGGTCAGGGCACGGATAAGGCATCAGAAGACCTGGGTTCTGTTCCCAGCTCTGCCACTGAGCTGCTGGGTGAGCTTGGGCAAATCACTTTCTCTTCCTGGGCCTCAGTTTCCCCTCCCATCCAGTGTCCGTCTTATTTGTTAAGACTGAAAGTGCCGTCTCTGACTAGATGTACGGGCAGTGCCCTGCACAATGGGGCCCTAATCTTGGCTAGGCTCTCCAGGCGCCGCTGTAATGCGGTGTACAAATACGGATAGGGTCAGAGGCTGCAGCCTAGGGTCACAGGAAGCACCTCAGCTCAGTTAGAATACAGTTTTTTAGCCAACTGAAGCTGTGCTTGGCCTGGCCTGAGATTTTTTTAATGGCTGTATAATGGCTGTCCCTTGATGTTGGGTGCTCAGCATGGGGTTTTGTACAGCGACTGGAGTCAGAAGAGATATAGCATCTGTTTTTTAAAATGGGATTTTGGAGCCGCTGACTTAAATACAATCCAGTTTGCAAGGATTCATGAAGAACAGTGACGGCTGAGCTGATAGTGTTACCTCTGCACCTCTCCCGCCCCTCCAAACGTGGGAGTCCTGTGGGTCCTGGCTCATTACACTCCATAAATGATTTAATTAGTTGGCAGGACAGATGTGGAAGGATGAGTCTGAGGAAAGGGAGGGGTCCCATCGCCACCTAGAGGAATTCTAGTGAACCTCATTCAAATGGCTGTGGAAAAGCAACATCCGGGCAGGTATTTACCACAATAAGATGAGTTGACTCCTTGAGACACTACAGATAAAACCAATGTAGGGGTCTGAGCAGTGGTTGTAGAGGGGTGGGGGAGAATGTTGACCCCTTTGTGTCAGTTAGTAAAACAGAATGAGACAGGCAAACTGACTCAGATGAAGAAAAGCCTTTGCCCAGAATTCAGACTAACTCCCCAAGTCTCTGCCCACTATCCAAAGAGGCCTGTCTACTGAAGCATTGTTGGACATTATGGTATCTGCCTTGCCTCTCACACATTGATGAGATAGAGAAACTTGGGATATGTTGCAATTTGAGCAGGAAACCGACTGGTTTCTTTTTCACAAGAAACCTGGGTTGAGCAGAGAATATTTGCAAAATTAGGATTTTTAAACAATACTGACTTCCCCAACAGATATTAACTCGGGAGAACAGGAAGCTTTTTAGTCCATGGTATCTAATTCAGGTGCACTGCTAGCATTCAAAATGCATTCCCCAGAAGTGGGTTTCTGGGGTGAGAGAGAAGTGAAGCAGTTCTGCAGAGTGAAAAAGGAAAGATGGGTAAAAGAGTCAAAAAATGCAAAGGACTGACCTTGATGCATGGCTGGTTCTTACACACTTCTAATGCTCTGTCCCCTCTTTTATTAAAGGAAAGCGTGGACCTGGGAGAGATCATGTTTTCCCTTTGTTATTTGCCAACTGCAGGTCGCCTCACCTTAACAGTCATTAAATGCAGGAATCTTAAAGCTATGGATATTACCGGCTACTCAGGTATGTGTTCATTTGCTCAAAGAGTTCGTGTCATTCCCTTTTACTTAACCCACCTGGCAGCTTGCTGGCTTTGATGCTGTGCTAGTTTGTGTTGTTTCTGAGGTGCCCTGATAAAGGGTGTGGGGTGTTTGTGTGTGCAGACAGATATGGAGCTGTACTCACAAAGCTTTAAAAATAAAACTAACTTGGAAAGCCAGCCCCAGGAGAATGAGAGGGGTGCTCGATCCTCCCAGGAGCCACGCACCACTCGGCCCAGGGAAGTGGGAACAGTTATGGTTCCTCGTTCTCTGCTGGGCATGTCGTGCTGCATCACCAGTTACAACAGTGCGGTCCTGGTGGATTGGAGCTCAGACATGTCCCTCCACTTCTCTCGGCACTCCCGGGGCCTGGGGAATGATGCAGGCACTGGCTCCAGCCGCTTTTTGCTAGCAAGGACATTCCCCTCCACCTATGGAAATTTCTGCTAGCCACTTGTTGCCAGAATCTAGACTATTTGCCTGAATAATCTGACCCATGATGAGTAAATGTGTGTGACCGGGAATTCCACTCCACGCACTGCCCTAGCACTCCAGCGTGAGAAAGTTTAATCAACTAGCAAGGTTTTGTGCGTTCATAGTTCCTAAAACCAAAATCTTGCCTGGGAACTCACCATGCACAAACACTAGTGTTTAACAAGAAAGCCAGCCAAGTTTCTTACCTGGAGGTCTAATGGAAGTACTTGAATTCTTCTGACAAACCTTTTAATAAACAGGTTTCAGAGTAACAGCCGTGTTAGTCTGTATTCGCAAAAAGAAAAGGAGTACTTGTGGCACCTTAGAGACTAACCAATTTATTTGAGCATAACGAAATCTTATGCTCAAATAAATTGGTTAATCTCTAAGGTGCCACAAATACTCCTTTTCTTTTAATAAACAGTAACACTAACTGAAGAGATCTCTGAGCACACTCAGCTCTGCTCAAATGGAACTTGCTGCAGGGTGAAATGTCTGAGAATCCCAGTTTCAGATGGAAGGCAGCTTAGTAGCTCTGCAATAACATGCTGTTTGTTTACTGGAACTTCAAAATGCATTGAGATTTCCCCAGCAGTCTACCCAGCAACCAAGCTGTGCTCGTAACTTAGAGGCACTCTGCCAAAACCAGCCACTGGTGAAGCAAGTGACGGCTACCCTACCTCCTCTTCTTCCCCCTGCCCTTTCGCACCAAGAAAAAGGGCTGTTAAATGCCACTTCTTGCTATCAGGCCCCTGATGTGACAGCCATTTATTTCCTCGCCACTTAAACAATAAACTTGTATGTGCAAGTTATGGAAACTTTCCTAGAGAATGGTCCTAGAAATAGGATATTTTTGGCTAAGATACAAAGGCATTTTGCTGTATCTAATTAGACTGTATGCTGAGTACCTGCGCTGTGTGTGTCTGTCTCTCTCTCTCTCTCTCACACACACACACACACACACACACACACACACCGCTATAGCAGCAAAAGATCTCTGTAAATTAAGTTCCACTTCATATTTTGATCTTCAAGGTGGCTGTGTTACATTTTTACTCTGTTCTACAAGTGTTTGAAGTTGTTTTTGCTTCAGGAAATGTTTTGGGGTTGCTGTATTGTCAGATGCATTTGCAGATTCAGTTCAGCTCCATTGTGCTAGGAGCCGTACAAACTGGTAGGAAGACCAGGTGGTTTCCCCAAAGAGCTGACAATGTAAAATGACAAAAACTAAACAGGGATTGAAAGCAGTGGGATGAAGGTGAAAACTGGCACACTGCTGGCTTGTTCTGTGGAACATTCCCTCCATTTGGAAATACAGTGAGGATTCTATGGTAGGCACATGGCACCTTCCTGAGGTAACTTAGACACTGATGTATCAAGGCAATGTCAGGATGAAACCTAATGGGGGAAAAAGTACAATGAAAGATTCTCCTTAAGAGACTGACAGTTACTCTGAACTGATACAGACGGCAGCTGAACTGTCTCATCGTTGCAGAGAAATGAGTCATTGCTGCTACATATCCTGTGTAGCTCATTGGCAAAATGCATGTTGGGTCCCATTCTATTAGTGGGTCCACTACAGGATAACAGTCTACTACCTCTACCAGCTTCATGGAGTTACTCCTTTAATTAAAGGGGTAGAAGGCTTTACTTTGGTGCTGAAGATCCTGGTTTCAAACCCTGATGATGACCCATGTGGGCTGAGTTTATTACACATTCACTTCCCAGTGGTGAATTGGTGAAGAGAGCAGTTCTTTTGGGGCCCCTTCTCCCCTTGGTCAAAGTAAGTAGAGTTCTGTCAGGTCAAATGTCTTATAATTATCGCTATAACCAGGGAAATTTGAATGGGGTTCTTGTTCATGCCATTCCTGCATTCTACAGAATATGGGTTTAAATAAATTTTCTTTTTGCAGCAAAAAATAACCTCCCTTGTTTAATCTGTTTGCTGCTCACTCATGTTACTGAGCCCTGAGCTACTGCTGTGGGACAGAAATTGGAATATTTGCAGGTAGAAGAAAAGGGTGGAGTTTTTTTTTTTTTAATAAATTAGCTGCGTGGAATGGCCTCTTATAAACATCCCACAGAGGTGGTGTTATGCATTGTATTTACCTCCTATAGGACAAAATGATCCTCCATAAGCAGTAGGTTTTTCCCTTCCACTCTTCCTCAGATCCGTATGTCAAGGTGTCTCTGCTCTGTGATGGGCGGAGGCTGAAAAAGAAGAAAACCACCATTAAGAAAAACACTCTTAATCCTACCTACAATGAGGCGATAATCTTTGATATTCCCCCAGAGAACATGGATCAAGTTAGCCTGCTCATCTCCGTCATGGATTATGATAGGTAGGTGGGAGCTTCTGGAGAGCAGAAAGAAGGGACAAGCCCATTCGGCCTGGTTTTCATGCTCCATTCCAAATCGCCTTGGTATTGCTGCCTGGATTACACAGCCAGTTTCTGTCAACATGCATCCCATAACGATGCATTGCAAAATGTCATGGACATTTAATGCTATGGATAATTATGTTGCTAGAAACATGAGAATAATAAACCTGATCCTTAGGTTTTAAGTAATTTTCTCCTTGGGTGAGCACAATATGCCCCATAGCTGCAGAGTGTTGAATGCATTTCATCTGAGCCATCATCCCTGTTAGAAGGCAAACCACTTCCCCCAAAGTGGCACTTATTCTCACTCCTCAATTATCAGAACACACATCCATTGGGATCCTGTCTGTTGACCTAGTCTGGAAGTCAGCCCAACATACAGAATCCCAAAAGGCCTGTAATTGGATAAAACCATCAGCATGATTTTTATTTATATTTTGGTAGCTCCCAGAGGCCTAGCTGCAATCAGGGCCCCACTGTGCTGGGAGCAGCATACACGTTGCAAGAGATAGTAAGAGATTGTCTTAGCAGTCCACAGGAAACTTCCAGTACTTGTAAGCAGTATGGCTGTATAGGCAACGTGCACATACACTTTCTAGTCAAAATAATTACGCCACTTTCCCATTGCCTTTCAGAGTTGGTCATAATGAGATCATTGGAGGTTGCCGTGTGGGGATCAATGCCGAGGGCCTGGGCCGAGACCACTGGAACGAGATGCTGGCATACCCTCGCAAACCGATTGCACACTGGCACCCATTAGTGGAGGTGAAGAAATCCTTCAAAGAGGTGCTTGAAGTCAATTACTTCCTTTTGACTGCATGTGCCACACATGGCTGAGCTGGTGCAAGGATTGCAAAAAGCTTCTGTTCTCAGTTGGGGAGTTTCTGAGATGGGCTGAGTGGAGCTTTTTGCTGGAGGTGGACCCCAGAGAACCAGCATCTCTGCTCTGGCTTGACATAGTTCCTTGGCTGGCAAGCAGGAGTGGAAAGGAATGGAATTTACAGATCAGGTTGTTTTTGTGGTTTTCTTTTTTTTTATCTGAGAGAACAGACAGGAAAAGGGAACACTGCTGTGATCCAGAATAAATACCCCAGGCACACCACATGTTTCTACTCTTAACTGCTCCAAACATCTTTGGAGAGCATTTTGCTGCATCTTTGTATCCCTCAGTATGGTCACTGGACTTGAAAAGGCTGGACAACTTCCTGACCATCCACAAGGTTTCCCTTTCCCTCGCTCTCCATTTCCTCCCCTTCCTCCCGCAGCCTTCTGGTCTCCTTTGCTATCTGTCTAATTTGGATGGTAAATCCCTAGAGATGCAGTTGCCAACCTGCACAGTGCCAGGCACATCAATGGCACTTTAGTGATGATAAACAAAGCTACCATTTACAGCTATGCCATGTAAAGCAATAAAGACGATAACATCCCCACGCTGGCCAGGGCCAGGACAGCCAGCGTTCCCCTCCTATGCAGCATTGCCCAATGGCTAGGTGTGGTATAAGGAGTATTTTGTTGTCCTCTGAAGTGTCAGAGATTGAGCTCTGCTGGTGGCCAGATGCTGGGCCCCATGGATCACAGCAGTGGCCTGAACCAGTATGTGTCCATTGAAACCTGGTCATCTATCACCAAGTTGCTTTAGAATACCGTAAATCAGGAGTCAGTAGTGTAAAACTGGTGCAAGTCAGACTAGAATCAGACCCAGAATCATCTCTGATATGGAATTTGTTTGACAATAGCAGTGACTTTGGGTGGTGAGCTGTGCTGTGAAATATACCACTCAGGCTAAAACTGCAGCATGTCACACACCCCCTCTGGCAGGAATATAGGAGTTATTCCTGTCTGCTGGGCTGGCATTTAGTGGCTGCTAAGTTTCAGGATAAATATGCAGTATTCAGTGATCCATTAGCCAGGAAGCTTAACCTCCTCTGCAGTATCAGTAGCAGCCACACAGCACCTGGTTCCAGCTGTCATGTCTGATGCAGGAGGATAGAATCATTTCTCCATTTGGCAGTTTGCATGATTTTATTCCATTATATTTAAGACCCAGATTGCAGTTTCAAGGCTCAGTTCCTATAAAATTTCTGGTAACAAACAAGGAAAAATTCAATTATTTACAGGAAAATTCAAAGAAACAGGCACAATATGAAACCCACTTAAAATGGAAATCAAAACCCACTGCTGGGCCACCCAAACGTTGAAAACAAAAAATCAAATGCATCATTTCACCCTAATGCTGGGCAGATCAGGGGGACAATTACGAAAGCCCAGCATCATTGAGTCCTGTATTCTTGCCACAACCCACTACACACAGCCAGCAAGCAAATGGTCCCTTTTCATAGATGCTAAGGTCAGAAGGGACCATTATGATCATCTAGTCTGACCTCCTGCACAACACAGGCCACAGAATCTCACCCACTCCTGCGAAAAACCTATCAGCTATGTCTGAGCTATTGAAGTCCTCAAATCGTGGTTTAAAGACTTCAAGGAGCAAGAGAATCCTCCAGCAAGTGACCCGTGCCCCATGCTACAGAGGAAGGTGAAAAACCTCCAGGGCCTCTTCCAATCTGCCCTGGAGGAAATTCCTTCCCGACCCCAAATATGGCGATCAGCTGAACCCTGAGCATGTGGGCAAGATTCACCAGCCAGATACCCAGGAAAGAATTTTCTGTAGTAACTCAGATCCCACCCCATCTAACATCCAATCACAGGCCATTGGGCCTATTTACCATGAATATTTAAAGATCAATTAATTACCAAAATCATGTTATCCCATCATACCATCTCTTATTTGTGTTTATTTTTTAGCCCGCCTGTGTGCAACTCTTTTGTACACAGACATATCTAAAAACCAAATAACAAAACACAACAAAAAAACCTACCAGAGTCCCAAGCAGCAATTACTGGGGAAATGTTTTTTCTATTGCACTAAATATAGATAGTCTTGTAAGAGCGTTTAGGGTCAAGGTGTCTTTAATCTCCCTCTGAGCATAAAAATAGCTCTGCTGCCCCCCTGCTGGATCTGCCGATCACTTTCCTATTGAGGATTCTCAGGAGGTCAGGACACAATCCCTGTGTAAAACAGATGGGTAAGGTTGTTAAAATGCCTTGATGAATTAGCTGCTTCATCCCTGCACATCCCCCTCCTCCTCCTGCTCCTTAATGGTCTGTTGTGTGGTGTTGGGCATCACCCACTGTCATGTTCACAGACGTCAATTCACAGAAAACAAGGTGGGTGGCAAATGAAAGGTTTCTCCTATAAATGCTGGGTATCTTGTTCCCAGAGCTTGTCAGCAAGTGTGCCTTTTCAGATCTTGTGTGTGCAGCTGAGCTTTCCAACAAGGGAGCTGATTGGCTCTATTCTCATGATGTACAGTCTTAGCAAAGCTGATGACTCAAATCTTTGGTCACACTTCTCAAGACAGAGGCACTTGTTTGAGATGTCCCTATCCAGTGTACTCGGTACGCATCACCTGCATCGAAAGATCCTCTGGTGAAAACACCTAGGTAGTGACAGGTTTCAGAGGAACAGCCGTGTTAGTCTGTATTCGCAAAAAGAAAAGGAGTACTTGTGGCACCTTAGAGACTAACCAATTTATTTGAGCATGAGCTTTCGTGAGCCACAGCTCACTTCATCAGATGTTTACCGTGGAAACTGCAGCAGACTTTATATACACACAGAAATCTCTGTCAAGCTTTCTTACAACTACAATACCCACCTGCAGAAGTAAAGAAACAGATTGATAGAGCCAGAAGAGTTCCCAGAAGTTACCTACTACAGGACAGGCCTAACAAAGAAAATAACAGAACGCCACTAGCGGTCACCTTCAGCCCCCAACTAAAACCCCTCCAACGCATTATTAAGGATCTACAACCTATCCTAAAGGATGACCCAACACTCTCACAAGTCTTGGGAGACAGGCCAGTCCTTGCCTACAGACAGCCCCGCAACCTGAAGCAAATACTCACCAACAACCACATACCACACAACAGAACCACTAACCCAGGAACTTATCCTTGCAACAAAGCCCGTTGCCAATTGTGCCCACATATCTATTCAGGGGACACCATCACAGGGCCTAATAACATCAGCCACACTATCAGAGGCTCGTTCACCTGCACATCCACCAATGTGATATATGCCATCATGTGCCAGCAATGCCCCTCTGCCATGTACATTGGTCAAACTGGACAGTCTCTACGTAAAAGAATAAATGGACACAAATCAGATGTCAAGAATTATAACATTCATAAACCAGTCGGAGAACACTTCAATCTCTCTGGTCACGCAATCACAGACATGAAGGTCGCTATCTTAAAACAAAAAAAACTTCAAATCCAGACTCCAGCGAGAAACTGCTGAATTGGAATTCATTTGCAAATTGGATACTATTAATTTAGGCTTAAATAGAGACTGGGAGTGGCTAAGTCATTATGCAAGGTAGCCTGTTTCTTCTTGTTTTTCCTACCCCCCCCCCCCCAGATGTTCTGGTTTAACTTGGATTTAAACTTGGAGAGTGGTCAGTTTAGATGAGCTATTACCAGCAGGAGAGTGAGTTTGTGTGTGTATGGGGGTGTGGGGGGATGTGAGAAAACCTTGATCTATGCAGGAAATAGCCCGACTTGATTATGCAAAGAGTTGTCACTTTGGATGGGCTAGCACCAGCAGGAGAGGGAATTTGTGTGGGGGGTGGAGGGTGAGAAAACCTGGATTTGTGCTGGAAATGGCCCACCTGTTGATCATTTTAGATAAGCTATTACCAGCAGGACAGTGGGGTGGGAGGAGGTATTGTTTCATATTCTCTGTGTGTATATAAAGTCTGCTGCAGTTTCCACGGTAAACATCTGATGAAGTGAGCTGTAGCTCACGAAAGCTCATGCTCAAATAAATTGGTTAGTCTCTAAGGTGCCACAAGTACTCCTTTTCTTTTTGCGAATACAGACTAACACGGCTGTTCATCTGAAACAGAAATCATGAAACAATACCTCCTCCCACCCCACTGTCCTGCTGGTAATAGCTTATCTAAAGTGATCAACAAGTGGGCCATTTCCAGCACAAATCCAGGTTTTCTCACCCTCCACCCCCCCACACAAATTCACTCTCCTGCTGGTGCTAGCCCATCCAAAGTGACAACTCTTTACATAATCAAGTCGGGCTATTTCCTGCATAGATCAAGGTTTTCTCACATCCCCCCACCCCCATACACACACAAACTCACTCTCCTGCTGGTAATAGCTCATCTAAACTGACCACTCTCCAGGTTTAAATCCAAGTTAAACCAGAACATCTGGGGGGGGGGGGGGGGGGGGAGGAAAAAACAAGAGGAAACAGGCTACCTTGCATAATGACTTAGCCACTCCCAGTCTCTATTTACGCCTAAATTAATAGTATCCAATTTGCAAATGAATTCCAATTCAGCAGTTTCTCGCTGGAGTCTGGATTTGAAGTTTTTTTGTTTTAAGATAGCGACCTTCATGTCTGTGATTGCGTGACCAGAGAGATTGAAGTGTTCTCCGACTGGTTTATGAATGTTATAATTCTTGACATCTGATTTGTGTCCATTTATTCTTTTACGTAGAGACTGTCCAGTTTGACCAATGTACATGGCAGAGGGTAGTGTGAATTGTCACAATGAAGCAGCCACTGTCTCCCCTTCCTGCCCTCTGGGGTTGGGTGAGCTTACTTTGCATTATTGTGGGGAACAGTAATAACCAGGGTATTCAGGGCAATGTCTCTATTAGGAAGCTTCCATTAGAATAAGCAAGTTCTGGATTTCCTTCTCTCCGTCCACCACATGTGTTCCCTCTGAATATGAGGAATATCAACAACTTTAGAAAGAAATGGAACAATCTGTCATGTGACAGTTTCTTTCCAAATGCAGACCTGGATCTTAAGTCAAAAGCAAGGAAACCAATTTGAATTTTTTTTTAAGTGATCTAAATTGTAAAACAGAAAATTGTGTCAACCTGGGGGAATTTGAAGTGACTTATGCCATTCAGTTCTGTACGTCTTTCCTCTCCTCCTCTCAGATAAAGCTCCCGGCCATCTCATCTTCCTTTCCCAATTTGACTGCACATGTGCAAACTGAAGAGCAATGTAGAATTCCTTGCTAATTGTTATACGTTCTCTAATCTGCACTCAACTAATGCCTATTTTGTGGGGAGGGGGAAGAAATCTGTCTAAAAGGTGCTCCTGTCACACTCTGGACTTGGAATAAGATCACAGACCTCAAATAAATCAGAAAAAGACATTCCTTGCTAGGAAGGACTTTCTTTAATGAAATGAACTAGTCCCTCCCCCAGGTTTCCTCTCCTCCAAGGCTGCTGCTGCCCATCCCTGTACAGTTCCAGTTGCTGGTGTGTGTTCCAGACACAACACTGCACTATGGCTTCTCAGTGGCAATCTTCCAGAGTTGTGTAAAACCTGGATTTCTCTTCCAGGGACTTCTTGCCTTCCCATTGGCATTTCCTGACTATTCAACAAGAGGAACCTGTGTGCTGCATGGCCTGGTTCCTCCAGCCATTGCATCAGTCTTACACGGATGGCTCCTGCAGGAATAGCACTGGAGTAGTAAAATGGTGAATCAGGCCTGAGTCTGCATGAGCCAAGTCCTTGCTCTCCCTTTCCCTCTTTCATGGCGATGATCTCCAATGAACCACGGTCAATAGCCACAGCTCCGTTCACTCTTGTCTTGCTGCCAGTAAGTGAGAAGCTTGCACTTCTTTGGTGACTTTCTTCGAAGGATTTCAAAGCACTTTAAAGTAATTAATTAATTACAGGCCCCTATTAGGTAAGGAAGTGTTATTCCCCCTTTCTTTGAATGAGCACAGACCGATTAAGGGGCTTGTCCACATTCACACCAACTTCAATAGAGCTGGTCATGGAACCCAGGAATCCTGCTTTCCAGTGCCTTGCACTAATTGGTACCTAACACACGCTTCCTACAATCATCAGCACACGGCTAAAGAACCAACAGGCTGATCCAGGACAATTCAGCATCTGATGAGTTTCCCCTTGCAGTACTAGGTATGCTTCAGCCATTCCAATTACTTTATCATGCCTTGCTGTCTCCCTCAAAATACTTCCTGACATCAGTCAGTCAGGATCTTTAACTGCCATGTTTACAGGAAGAGATTTTTAAAAATCAGAGTATTTTTAGGAACATTAAAGGAAACAGTGAAAAGTGGAGATTTGTCTCTGTCTCGGAGCACCTAATATCACCAGCCCAGTATAAAATGCGTCTCCAATGTTACGAGGCAGTTTTAACATTCAGCACTTGGGCATTTATTTGTTTTTAAACTTTTTTCTGGAGAAATAATTTAACTTCACTGGGAGCAGGATCTAGTCCATAATGAAGGATAACTGCTCATCTTTAATGATATGCAAAGCCAATCTCCTCTAGTCCTTTGAGTCCATCTGGCCTTCCAAGAACTGACACTTCCCTGGCTGTTACAGAAAGAATGGCTCACTTCTCTAATTAAGAGAAGGGAAAATTATCCTGAGGTTTCTCAAGACACATAGGTCACTTGACCTGGTCTCACTAGAGCTTCCTTCACTGTTAAGAATAGATAACATTATCAATGTAAAAGCAGGAGAAATGCTGCAATGGCACATCCTAAACTCTACCAAGAGCTTATTTCTGGAGTAATTTCTGATGTCCCATCTTTTTGGAGGCAATTCTACCATTGAGATTACATCTGCATTGTGCTTTCCTCTGGGGCTTTAGGTTGTAGTGAGCAGCCTGGCAGGACTGCAGAATGCCTTTATTACCTTAAGGTACCCTAGGTCTGAGAGACCATTCTTGGTTCTTAACGCAGTACTTTCTGCTGACCTTTAATTAAATGCCCACTCTGCTGTGTAGTGGATTGCTTTGGAAATGAAAAGGTCTGTCCTCTTTGAGGAGAAGAAGTAAATGCCAACCCTTAACCCCCCAGTTCTGCCCCCTGCCTCCCCAGCATGAGTATTTGTACAGATAAGTCATGAAAGCAGGTCTGCTGCTGGCATAATGTTAGCTTTACATTAATTTGAGTGTACCCTGCAAAGGCAGAGCTGAGCCAAGATGGGCAATGGCCAGCACACCTTCCCCTGTGACTTGCTCAGCACTGACTGGAGACCTCACAATCCGGCCAGGCATATCTGTGCATTAGCACATCCGATCCTCTTGGGCAGATGGACTGTGCCCATTGCAAAGAACATGGGGAGTCCTGAGAAACTTCCCCCATACAAGGAACCAGCCCAAGGCCTATGCAACCCTGATGTCCCACTTGCAGCCCTCTGGCTTTGAGTAAATGACTCTTACATGGAAGCAGGATTTTTTGACTATTTTTCTCTCTGGTTGGTCACTATCATGTTCCCACCACCATGCCTTTTCCCCATGCTGACTCATTCTTCTCACTAATGGGCCTGGGCCAAAGCAAGCATTTATTTTCTGAAGTGAAAAACGGGGAAAGAATTAATGAGAACTCTTACAGGCCAGCGAGTGTATTCAGATAGCATGTCTTAAACAGGATCTTTGGAGCCAGCCATCCTACACAAAGGAGATTACATAGCTCTGATCTGCCATCCTGTGCTGGTGGCATAACAGAGTACAGGAGAGAACTGCACGTGGAAGGGACAGTACCTCCAAGGTAGCAAGTGATGGGTGAAAGGCCTGATTGGCCACTGCTTTGCACCTCGGATCACCATATATACCTGTGCAAAGTGGGTGTTAAATGAAACTGAATCCGAATTCTCCACCCATACATACTTGTCATGGCATTTTCCACCCACTTTACATGGAATGAATTACTAGACCATCAGAGGCCAAAGCTGCAATGACATCACGTGGACATGAGAGCCACAACCAGGTATGGAACCACATTTGTTTCTCTATGGCAGTAAACCCAGCCACTTGCAAGGTTTATACTGGGTTGGGGGAGCAATTACTCTGGAACTTATTATCACAGTTATTCTGAGAGTTTAAGTGAGTAACTGCACCTCTCAGATCCTACTGGGCAAGTTGATTTTCCCCAGGGTCCTGTGTATGCTTTCCATGGCACAGGGTGATTTACGTGCATGGATGATGGTTGAGAGCATTGGTCCTCCTAAACAGTGTAACATTCACGTTGCACGTTTGGACTGGAACAGGGAAACCCTGTGGCAAAGCCAGTCGGTGGTGTGACTTTTGCCTGGATTCATTCATTTGCAGTGATTTGGTGCAAATCAGCTGGTGAATTTTCTCTTATGTGAACTTCATGCACGTTGAGCTCTAATATTTACATGCAAAGATTTTTGCTGGCTCAGGAGAGGGAAGATTTGGTTTGGGGTGGACAACACTGCAACAGGAGCCAGGAGCAGGTGCAGTGTGAAATACCATGTTCCCTGCAGTCTTTGGGTGATACATGTAGTTTGTCATTCGCATTCAATAAAATGAGAGAGAGAAAGAGACTGGCAAGACGTCAAAAGCTCGAGTGATACTGGTTTTAAACTACACTAATAGCTCAAAGACAAATTGCTAATAATTTATGGTCTGAAGTCCCTGACAATGAAGTGTTTACTACATACTAACCTATCCATCCATCCCCAGTCTGATCTGATTTTCAATTTGAAAAGTGGCTCCGGCACTGGGTCCTGTGGAGTCTCATTATTTCTCTGTGCTGCAGTGATTTAATTCACTTTGCTGTCGTTCAGTATTACCAAAAAAAAAAAAAAAAAAAGTTGCATGGTAAAATGGGAAGCAGCGGGAGGGCAAAACTTTCTCCAGCTAAGGAGCATGGGCATGATTTAGCTGATGCTCAGTCTCTGCACCGGGGTTCAGGATTAAAAAAGTAATAAAACGCACTGGCAACCTCCCATAGGTGGTGTCAGGCAGGTATGGCTGCCACCAATGAGGTCTTAATGACCAAGTGATGGAAGTAGACAATCATAGGCTAAACCTAATTCAGCAGCAGATGAGACTGTGGAAAGTAAGACTGTGATCGTGACAAGGGAAATAACGTGCTGCTTTTCTCTCCCATCAGTGGCAAGGCCGAGCAGCAAGCTTCGACAGCCAAGGCTCATGTCCATCTCCTAAGCCACCTCCCACACCATGAGCCACTGAAGCAGTGGATTAGAATGGAACTAAACAAAGTTATTTTGCACTTGTCCTACAGTCTGAACAACTTGTTGCTGAGTGGCAACAGTGAGGCGTTCCAGGCCTAGTTGTTCCAACGTAGGTAAAGGCAGAAGAAACACTTTGTGGTCAAATTTGTCTTGGTCTGTTATGTCTCCCAAGATGATGTTTGTGGTTTGCATTTTATGGATCTGCTGCCCGAGGAAGAAGATGGAATAAAACATGAGCTGGGAGGTTGGTCTGTAAAATAATGTGTAAAATGCTGGACCAGTAACAGAGACCTTCTCAGCCTATCTGCACACCGATGACATGCCCCAGGGAAGAGGCATGGGGAGAAGCATGCTGCTGCATTTTCTGACTGATTGGAACCGTATAAATAGAAGCCTTGATTAGACTTCATGTGACCAGCTCTTTATTATTGTGATCAATCTGAATTCAGCCACATGTTTACAGGTTTCTTATTCACGTAGAAATGTTCATGAGCCTTTCAAAGTTTGTGCCGTGTGTACCCCAAACTTCCTTCTGTGATGTATTGAAGATTTGTTGATTCCTCAGGGAAAATGATCCATTTTCTGTATTCTCACTAGGGCCATTTGCATGAACACAGTTATAGATCATAGAATATCAGGATTGGAAGGGACCTCAGGATGTCAATCTAGTCCAACCCCCTCCTCAAAGTAGGACCAATCCCCAATTTTTGCCCCAGATCCCTAAATGGCCTCCTCAAGGATTGAACTCACAACCCTGGGTTTAGTAGGCCAATGCTCAAACCACTGAGCTATCCGTTCCCCCCGACCCCTGTCTGCTACTGCTGCTTGTTCCTCTGTGACGTCACTTGTCTGATGCGGAGTGAAGAGTACTGTGTTGACACAAGCAGGGTTCTGATGTGAGGTGGGAAATGGGCTATAGGAGCAGGTGAAAGTCTTGCATAAACACTAGATCTTTATTTTTATAAATGATCCTTAGCAGTACAGCGTGAGAGAATACAGGGGAGCACAAAAAATATAAACAAGTTTTTTTTTAATTTTTAAAGCTTTAAATTAGGGCTGTCAAACAATTTTTAAAAAATCACAATTCATCATGAGATTTTTTTAAAAAAAAGTTGTGATTAATCGTAATTTTAATTGCACTGTTAAACAATACTAGAATCCATGCTGAATTTCAATTGGTAAGCATGTCCTCTGGAATGGTGGTGGAAGCACGAACGGGTATACAAATGTTTAGCATATCAAGCACGTAAATATCTTGCAACGTCAGCTACAACAGTGCCATGCAAACGCCTGTTCTCACTTTCTGGTGACAATGCTGCCCGCTTCTTATTGACAATATCTCCTGTAAATGTAAACAAGCTTGTTTGTTTTAGCGATTGGCTGAAAAAGAAGTAGGACTGAGTAGACTTGTAGGCTCTGAAGTTTTACATTGTTTTTGTTTTTGAGAGCAGTTATGTAACATTTCTATATTTGTAAGTTGCACTTTCATAATAGATTACATTACACTACTTGTATGAGGTAAACTGAAAAATACTTTTGTTTCATTTTTAATGTAATATTAAAATGAGCACTGTACACTTTGTATTCCATGTTGTAATTATATAAATATATTTGGAAATGTAGAAAAACATCAAAAATATTTATAATAAATTGATATTTATTGTTTAAATTTAACAGTGTGATTAAAACTGTGATTAATTAGAGGTTTTTTATTGTAGCTAATTTTGTGTTAATCTCTTGATTTAATTGACAGCCCTACTTTAAATTTTTCCATAAATTGTAAGCAGCTACTTAATAAGAGAAGTGTCTAAAATCTCAAACCAAGGTAAAAGTCTGTTGTGAATAATGAATGGTTGCTAATGCCACTACCTGCAAGATCCAGAAAATGATGTTACCACATCTCAATGTACCAGGTTTTTGAATCCTACAAAGTCAGCTGGTATTTATCAGCAAATGGACTTTTTGAGACTTTTAATCTTGGACTTCTGTTCTCTAAGTTGCTAAATACATTAGTGTTTGTTTCACTGATATTAAACAATTTTGGGCAGTCATCCCCTTCCTCTCTAATCACCAATGTACAGGTACGGTGACTCAGGTTAGCAAGCACCTGAGCCAGCAATCAGTTTCCAGCTCAGCCTCATTTCCCCTAAATGTCACACCATGCACTAGTCTATACTGTGCATCATGATTGACTGATCTGAATGTTCTAGACTTGTATGTATATCTTTGCTGGGTGAGAGGAGGAAGCCTTTGTTCGGTGAAGCACAAATACCTAACTTCTCACTAGACTTTGTATCTTAATACTCTGTGTGCCACATGCTAAAGGAGCAGAAACTCAATAAAAGATTTGATTTGTAATGCCTGTTTTACTGGCCTAAATGCTTGTTTCTCTTGGGAAAGTAGTGACTGTGTCTATCCATGTCCAGATGTTCAGCCAATCAGACCACACACACAAAGACCCCTATGTGACTTTAAATTTGAGTGAAGACACCCTGCTGAAAATGAGACAATCCAATGATATTGGCAGTGGTGGTGTAGCCGTGTTGGTCCCAGGATGTTATGAAGACCGGAGGGGAGGTCAGATCTTTTATTGGCCCATCTAATGGTGAAAGAAGAGCTTGAAAATATTTCTCTTTCACCAACAGATGTTGGCCCAATAAAACATATTACTTTGCAGTCCACTGCTACGTACACTTTGTTTTAAAAAGAGAAGTGAAAGTGCAGGGAAGGTGCAGAATTAGGTGTGGTGATTGGTGCTATAGCTTATACCGCCCAGGTGGTATCCTACAAACACCTTCTGGACAGTATATCCTTTCCTGTAGTGTCCTGTGTCTTCTAGTAGGAAAAAGCTTTAATAGGTCAAAATAAAAGGAGTACTTGTGGCACCTTAGAGACTAACCAATTTATTTGAGCATGAGCTTTCGTGAGCTACAGCTCACTTCATCGGATGCATACCGTGGAAACTGCAGCAGACTTTATATATACACAGAGAATATGAAACAATATTCTTGTTGTTTCATATTCTCTGTGTATATATAAAGTCTGCTGCAGTTTCCACGGTATGCATCCGATGAAGTGAGCTGTAGCTCACGAAAGCTCATGCTCAAATAAATTGGTTAGTCTCTAAGGTGCCACAAGTACTCCTTTTCTTTTTGCGAATACAGACTAACACGGCTGTTACTCTGAAATAGGTCAAAATAGTGACTCACAAGCAGGGAAAGCCGAACCGCTATGGACCACACAAAGACTGACCTTACCCTTAGTCTAGAAAAGAGACACTTAAAGGGGGGAAGTAGAATAGAGGTCTATAAAATCATGAATGGGGTGGAGAAAGGGAATAGGGGAGTGTTGTTTACCATGTCACATAATACAAAAAAACTAGAGGTCACATAATGAAATGCTGAGACAGTAGGTTTTAAACAAACATAAGGAAGTCCTACGTCACAACACACAGTCAACCTATGGAACTCCTTGCTAGGAGATGTTGTGAAGGCCAAGACTATATATAGATTAAAAAAAGAACTAGATAAGTTCATGGAGGACAGGTCCATCAATGGCTATTAGCCAAGATGGTCACAGACACAACCCCATGCTCTGACTGTCCCTAAACCACCAACTGCCAGAAACTGGGACGGGACAATGGGGGATGGATCGCTTGATAAACTGCCTTGCTCTGTTCATTCCCCCTAACTCATCTGGCACCAGCCACTGTCCGAAGACAGGATACTGGAATAGATGGATCTTTGGTCTGACCCAGTATAATGTTCTAAACCACGGTCTGAGCTGAATTGAACCTGTTGAGGGTCGCTATCATAAGTTAAAAAGTGCCTCCCACTGCTTTCAGGGGCTTATGTTAATCTTCTGCAATGCATGCATGCTATTATCTCCTGATGGGCCTTCTGGGGCCACTGAGAGTGTGTCTACACCAGGAGCGATGAAAGCTTCCTAAAAGTAGGGGGTCACTGGTGCCTGAAGTGTGCCTCTCCCACCCCTCATGCCACCCTTTCCCCCTGAGGCCCCGCCCCATGCCACCCTTTCTCCCTGAGCCCCTGCCCTGTCCTCTCCCATGAGTCCCCACTCCCACACTGCCTCTTCCGCCCCCCGACAACTCTGTCCTCGCTTGCTCCTCCCCCGCATTGCTTGCCTTTAGGGCCGGTAAAAAGTGGCAAAGCCATGCTCCCCCCCACCGCAATTCCAGCACCCCTGGTCTACATTGCAATGTGAGTCCAGGATTTAAGCCCAATCCCTTTCGGTCTACACAGCTATCATGCTAGGCCCCCACAGGGCTGGAGGGGCCAAGTCTGAGTCAAGCCCAAGTTTTATGCCCTATTGCTTTGCAGTGTAGATGTGGCCAGACACTGCGATTTGGCCAATAGTATCCCACAAGCCCACGGACCATCTTCTGGACAGTTAAGTTTGGATGGGCAGGCAAGTTTTCTCACGCTACACCATGAACAGAGGGCTAGAGTGGCCACGTTGTGGGAGGGCACTAGAAAGTCTGGGCTGTGGGAGGTTGGCCTCAGGTCCATATAAAACTGTATAGACGCTGTTAGAGAGGAGTGAGGCTGGGCTCAGGGTTCAACAATTCCTAACCTGGGGGTTAAAAATGGGTGTGGACGTGCAAGCCCTAGGGTAACAAACACAGGCTCTGCTAACGCTAGTCACTAACCCTAGGCTTACACTGCAGGCTATGGCTACAGTGGGCACTGAGCCTGGGTTCTGGCTCGCGTTTGAACCCAAGGACCCAGAGCTTAAATTCAGGGGGTGCTGGCCAGAGTGGTGTTCCGGAAAATATTTTAAAACCTGCTGGGCAGAAGCCCTGAGCCCCAATTCTTCCCGGGGGGGCTTCCTGCCCTGTAGCTGAAGCCTGGAGCCACATAGCCACACAGGACAAAAGCCCCTAGACCACCCCACCTTGCAGGGCAGAAGCCCCAGGCTCTTCCCCCCACAACTCCCCTAGCCCCATGACCTCCCCACTTTGCAGAGCTCCATCCCCTTCCCAGTCTGGTAGGCAGAGAATGGGGAGGATGTTGCGGGGGGGAGGGGGAGGCACTGGGAACTACTCTATGAGTCTTTAAGCCCTGCCAAGACCTCATTCTGTCCACACACAAATCAGTCTGGCTACCTACCAGGGCAGGTCAGAGCCCGACTCCCACTGAGCCTTGGACCCAAGTCCTGGCATGTTTGCAGTGTGGCCGCAGCTCAAGCCACAGCCCCATCAGCAGCTCTGTTAGCACAGCTGTGAGACCCAGGGCCAGCAGTCGGCCAAACAGGATTACAATGAAGTGGGATGCTGAGTCCGTAGGCCAGTTCCTTCAGAGCTGTGCTCACGAGGCAGCACGGACACACCCTGAGTGTCGTGAGTCCTATGGTCGGACTCTGCTCCCCAGTACACTAGGTTCACTGGCTCTGGTATAATTACTCTGGAGTCATTGTGCTGTAACTTAGATTCGATGTGGGCCCCTGCTCCACTCATTCCTTTCAGAGCTGGCCTGGGTCCATTGCTCAGTCTCTTTGGTGACTGAGCGAGGTGCACAGCTTGCCCCTGCCCCACTACAGCCTCCCCATGAACACTCAGCTGCTCATCAGCCAGCACAAGAATGACGGTCACATTAGTCAAGTTCCCCAAGGGTGTGGCTGCAAGACCAGTTTGTTCGTGGCACATTGGGGTGTGAATCTATCCCATGCTAGCCAGCCATGGCCTCTGTGTCCACGTGGCTCCCACTGATGCCAACTGGTGTTTTTTAAACTGCTCAGACCTAACCAGCTTTGACCCAGGCCACGTTAACTGGGGGAGCCCAGGTTCACACAGGCTAGTAACCTGCTCCCTCTGCAGTGAGAACAGGTGAGTGCTCAGAGCTCTCTAGTGCTTCCTGCTCGCCCACCCCCAGAGCAGTTCTCCTACAATTCCCTAGGCAGGAATCAGAGAGCGGCTCAGCTGACTGTAACCCAAAGAACCCTGGTTTGTGCTCCCAGCGGTCCCAGTGAATGCAGCCCCAGGGAGGTCACAGCAATGTAGGCAGGGCTTTGCTGCAGGGCAGCTCACACCCCACCTAGGCTAACCCAGGGCTCAGACCTAGGTGCCCATCACAGGGGTTACGGTTGCAGGGAAGACTTACCTCCTGGAAGCTGCATGTCCAGTTTCGGCTGGATGGTAAGATGTAATCTAAAAATGTATTAATCACTCTCCCACTCCGTCCCTTGCTTCCTAAAGCCTCGCTTCTTGGGCTTTGTGCTTCTGTAACCATCACTGCTTTTCCATCATGTCTCTCATTAGCTGGGATTTAGTCAAAATAGACCTGGGGTTTGGCATCAAGCTTCTATTTTTAATTCCTGCTTCACACAGATAATCAATTTCCTCTTGCTATTGATTGTCAGCGGCATTGCTGAAATGCTGCCACCTTGTTACTGAATAACACCCCCAACCCAGCATGCTACGAAACCCACAGTTAGAGTAGAAACACCGCAGCTGAGCTATGACTCTTGGTGAGGGGATAATCAATCCACTGTATGTTCATCAGCGCTTGACCTCAACTAGGCCACAAGCTGACCACACCATTTCCCTTCGTCCCAATGGAAAACCTGTTCTTTTAGCTCTGCGAGCAGCTTGGGCCAGCACATGTGGAATGCAGAACCAATTCTTTCTTTCCTCGTGCAGAGGGGCAGGCCAGGGCCATGCACCACGTACGCTTTGGACTTAGGTGGGATGTCAGTGCTACATTGGCCAATGGTCGCCCGCTGCACAAGGGTGATTTTCACCCCTCTAGTATGGATTCATGCCAATGGTCCCATTAAAATCAGTGGGACAGCTTCTGGGCCTGATCCAGCCAAGTCACTGGCAGTCTTTCCAATGGGAGCTGGAGCAAGGCTCTGCTAAGTACGCCTCAAAGTATGCATTGCCCCTTCAGCCCCTCAAGCTCCAGCCCCTGATTGCGTACACCCTCCACACAACGGAGACACATAACTCTTTACAGGGCACGAACCAGTTACTGGCAACTTTGCAAAATCAGAACAATAGCCACAAGTGGTGAACTTTACTCAGTGTAAGGGAAACTAGCTAACCAAACCCTGCCAAATGTTCCCAAGCCCTGGGCCTGACCTCAGCCTCATTCTTCTCTTTGTTACAGCCTCGCACAGCTCCTGGTTTTCAGAGCCATGCTAAAGGGCAGAAAAACCAGTGGAGTGCTGTTGCCTGAGGTGCAGCTTAATTACCAAGTGCTCCTGTGGGACTCTCTGAAATGAAGCTAGAAGACAATGTGACACACTGGGTGTATCTAAATACTTGTCCTGCAAATATGTTTTTGCATGACACACTTGTCATGGTCTGCCATCAATCCTGCCTTTACTTTGCATCATAT